ACTGTGTGAGTTTAAGATGGACAATGTAATGACTGACATGTGTTGAGCACCTGCCTTTCTCACAAAGGTTGGTGATGCTGCTGGACAGGGACTGCCCTTTGGGGTGGCTGCACTGGAGGGTCAGTGATAGTTAACTTCTCACTGACTGGATGAGACTGTGAGATTTCCTTTGTATGGTGTTTAATTTTTCATCTATGCAGTTCTTTTTTTTTTTTTTTTGGTGAGGAAGACCAGCCCTGAGCTAACATCTGATGCCAATCCTCCTCTTTTTTTTTTTTTTTTTTTTTTGCTAAGGAAGACTGGCCCTGGGCTAACATCCGTGCCCATCTTCCTCTACTTTATATGGGACGCCACCACAGCATGGCTTAACAAGTGGTGCGTCAGTGCACGCCTGGGATCCGAACCGGTGAATCCCGGGCCGCCGCAGCGGAGCGCGCACACTTAACCGCTTGCGCCACCTGGCCGGCCCTGATCTATGCAGTTCTGACTACTCACTCCCCACCCTCTATGCTCCCTATCTCTTGCCCCCTCACTACTTCCTACACACACACCTTGTTGGCACCCCAGCACCTGAGTGTATGGGCTCCCCCATCTAGAGCTTCCTCTTGGTCCAAGTCTGCATTCAATTTCCATGGAAGCAGAAGTGACCCAGAGGACACAGGTCACTTCTGAGCTCGAGCTTACATCAGTGGATCAGTTTGATCCAGCCACTCGGGCAGGACTGGGATGTTTGGGATTTCAGGCAGAGCCAGTGGCTTCCTTCCAGACTCCTTGCCTGGCTACTTTTAGAACACAAGGGTGTAGGAGATGGAGTCCCCCATCCCTTTACACAGCAAGGACAGTGAGTGGTTGCAGACTCTTGCCCTGTGCAATGAACTTTTTAGTTTGAGGTGGAAGTCCAATCCTGCCTCCTGCCAGAGAGGAAGGCAGAGGTAAAGGTGGGAGGAGAGAGCTCCTTTTTCCTGCTTAGAAACAGGCGGAAATGGGAGGCCAGGCGCTGAGCAATCTGGAAGGGCAGAAGTGACTCAGAATATGATTGTTAGAAGTCAGAGAACGTGACTAAGAGAGCGCATCTGTTCTCTCAAGCCCTGTGCCAGGAGTTGCAAATTTTGTCCAAAAGAAACTTAACAGAGGTTAGAAACTAGATTCTCTTTGCTCTACCACCATGATCTTGGTGGCAAGTTACTTAACCCCTACACCTTAATTTTCTCCTCTGTACAGTAGGACTAATCTTTGTTGGGTTGCTATGAGGATTAAATGAGATAATGCACTTAGTGTGTGGCACATAGTGTTCAAAAACTGTTAGCTGCTATTATTATTATTATTATTATTATTTTTACTAATACTACTACTACAAAGTTAGAGTTTGGAACAAAGAGCCTTGGTCAGTGGGAATCAGGAAGGCTGCATGTGAAAAGTGGCCCCTGAGGGATGGGGTGGGGAGAGGAATGCAGGTGGATGTTCTGGGAGAAGTAAGTAAACAGAGAGGTGACTATGGGAACTGGTGGGCAAGAAGGCCAGAGGCAAACTGAGGCCAGAGCATGGAGGGCTTTCAATAGCAGTTTAAAAAGTCAGACCACTTCCTGTAGTCTTGAGGCAGAGATCAGAAGACAACCCAAGGAGGGGAGGCCCATGTACACGGTCTTGGGTCCCGTCCGCACTTTACTCTCTTGAACAGGGACTGTTCCAAGGGGCGTATCCCCCTCTTCTTAGTGGTCCCTCCCCACCCAAAGAGGAAGATCCAGAACTGGCTGGAACAGCTCACGGTGCCTGATTGTGCGGGCCTGCTTGAATGCTCTATGTGACACTCCAAGGCTCCGTCCAGTTGACCAAAAGCCCATGCCAGCGACAGGGGAGGGTGACTTGTGTGGGTTACCGCCTGTCCATAGACTGAACCCTACGCCAAGAAACACATCAACTTCCTGGAACTCAGAGCCATCATCACAGCTGTCCTCGCCTTCAGAGCATAGGCGAGGCTGTCCTGGGTAGAGGAGATGGTTTTGCCCCAGGCTTTGCAGGCAGGGGAGAACAGGCATTGGCATGGTGGGACATGCAGTCTGGTTTGGTTCTGTCCGCGGCCTAGCCAAGAGTAGAAAAGAATAGTTCCTTTCTGCCTCAGCTCATCCTTCGGAGTTGCTGTTGCTTCCTTGCTGCTTATTGAGCTTCATGGTAACTCAGAGCGTTGTAGTATCTGCCTCTTAATTCACATTCTTTCAGCCTGTTTTGGGTTGGCCAGAACTGGCCAGCTAGGCTGTTCACTAGGCTATTCCAATCAGTGGATCAACCATCCCAAGTATTTGCGGACATCTGTGTAGGTTCTGCACTGCGGCTATCCTGGTTCAGTGTGGTAAAGCTCACTATTACATCATCTGGGGGCCTCTACTGTCATCCCAAGCATCCAAACTTACCCCATCTTTCCTGGGGGCCTTAGGACAGATTTCAGATTTCACTTCAAGAATCCTCCGGGTTTTCAGAAGCTGGGAAGCTTTGTTTCTAGACCATCTTCCCTCTTATCTTTCATCTCTTCTTTGCTATCTCCTTGGAGCTGGAGACAGACTCCTTAATCTTTTCTTTCTGGCTTCGCATAGCATTGTCTCTTATCTCCTTAAAGGCTGGGGGCTGACCTTCCCCTCCCCCTCATCCTCAGTGATGGACCTCTGCCCTCTCCAAGTCGTCCTGCTTCCACTGGATCTGGGCAAAGCCTGTGTAGGAATGCAAATCCAGAAATTCAGCATCTTCCCTCAGGAGCCCTGAGACCCACCCCTTCAATTTCTCAGGCTGTGTTCTATCAGGTTTCCCCTACAGGAGCCATCTAGGACACAGCCTCTCCTCACTGGTCTTTTTTTTTTTTTTTTTCTGAGGCAGTGGTGATAGAGGTAAGGAGTATCTTGAATTTTCTTCTAAGAACTGTCCTGTACTTTTCCACTCTCTGAGTTCTGTGAATCCCTCAAACCTGGTAGGATCCGACACAAGCAAGGTAGTGACTCTAGTTACTCAGCTTAATTGCAAGACATTCTCAATATTCAAATCATTTACATCCACGATCAGAGGGTGGAAGTTTCAGGGTCATGTCTGTCCCTGATACTAAGTGCAGATGCTAAGGTTGGCCCTCTCTTCCCCTTGGTTCCCCATGTATATTGAGGAGGTTACTTGGTGGACTTCTTAAGGTATCTTTTTTAAATGAAGGGAAGGAGTGAGTACAAATTTTAATGAGAGTGTTAGTTATATTCTGAAAAATTTTAATTCCAGAGACTTGTCTCTCTGATGTGTGTTTTTATTAACTATGTATAGAACTGTGGTTCACTTTACTGATTCAGAGATCGTGGCAGTTTCTAGAAATAAAACCATGGAGCTATTTCTCTCCAGACTTCCTAATAAAATTTACCATTAATTAAAAAATAAATAATAACACGGGGAAACTTTGCTTGCCTTTTTTTTTTTTAAGTGTTTAATTTCACCTTAGGCATCTTTAAGTTTAGATGGGTGGAGATGATCTGAAAGGATGTTTTGTTTGTGCAGTTCTAAAACCTCATAGGAATTTTAAATAAAATTGACTTGATTCATAGTTTAAAGGATGGTGGCTTCCATATCAAGTAAAATCAGGATTCTTATCCTGCTTGTCCTGGAATGAGCTTCTGGGGTCCCTGACCCTCCTGGTGCTGAAGGGAAATGTTGGTGTAGAGTTATGTGCATTTGTCTCTGGGAAGGTCCATAATTTTCATCAGATCCTCAAGGAGGGTCTTGCCCCCAGGGAACATGGAGAGTTACTGGGGTGTAATAAGGGTTCCTCTAGGCCTAAGGGGTCTCTATCCCATTCAAGGGCTGTCCCTATGAGTTTCTCCTTGTTTCTTGTTACTTCATTGAAAATCCAAAGAACTTTTCAAAAGAGAAAGGGACAAAAAAAAAGATGGAGAATTGAAGCAAATGAGGTGTAAAGAGAGAGAAATTGTTCACGGTGTCAAAATCATTGAGAAGCTGCTGCTTATAGAAAGGGTTGGTGGAGCCTTCTCACCCCTCAACAGACCGGTCTAGCCCGCCTTCGGTGCTCAGTAACTGTGTGTGGACAAAGTGAGTAAGATTCAAGATGATAACTGGGCGTGTGACATGATCGGGCAGCTTTCCTCCAGACACTCTGAAAGGAGATAAAAATGAGAAGATATGCCAAGCAACTGTTTCTCGACAGGTTTTGTCCACGTGGCAGTTTATTTCACTTCTTTAGTCTTCTCCCAGTTTTGCGCTCTTCACTTTAGCTGCAGGATGCTGTTTTCAGAGACCCAGAGAATGTGGCTGAGCCTTGTAGCTCTGGGAAATGCTGCAGTCCAGTTTTCTCTAACTTTGTAGAGGGCTAAACACAGCTTTCTCCCGGGTCGGGGATTCAAGGCCCCTGACACCCCAGAGCAGACTTGCTCAAACTCTTGAAGGGCATATGTAGTTTGAGAAGTTTTCTGTAATCTTCCCTCCAGAAAGGAAAAGATATGCATTTGGTCCTATTTGAATTGTGTTATGGACACTTCCCCCATCACTCAGGAAAAGATGTAATAATCTCTCCTTTACGTTGAGGACTGTTTAGTTCCATGTTTTTTACTTTCTTCAACTCTCTTCTTTTTTCCTCTCTGTTTCTGATAGCACTTAGTGCTATCTTGTTCTTCTCTGCCGTTTAAACTGGCAGTCCGTTAGCATCTGCTGTTAACGTGCCATTAAGATGCTCAAAGCTCTGCTGGGAGCCAGTGGTCCAAGCATTCTCAGGTAACGTTGCCCTCTATGTTGTTGGGGCATGCTTTGGGGGTTCCTGTCTGTTCAAGGTACGTGCATCTCCGGTCCCTCTTGCTCAGATGACTCGGGAGCTGGAAGCTTGCTTATAAGTGCAGGCAGAGGATGGGAAATGTTCTGTTGTCCTTAATTGGTGATTCCCGGTGGTGGTAAGTGGAGAAAATGGTACAAAGACAGGATCATTTCTGGTCTTGACTCCGTCTTAATGTCACATTTTCTCGTTTTTATAGGTTGCTCCGACTCTGCTCCAGAGGTGGTGGCTTTGAGGTGTGACCCAGCCCACATTTGGGCCCAGCCAGCGCCAGCTCCTCAGTAAGGAGGGCCAGCTTGATAAGACGAAGAAAACAGGTCAGTTAAACTTGAATGACTTTCCTTGAGTCACAATAACTCTGAGTGTTGGATCTTCCTCTCCCCTCCTCTCTCTCCCCACGTTCTCTTTGAGTTGCCTTCCCTCTTCTCCAAGTCTTCCGGAGGCTTTGATGCAGAACCACGCTGAAACTGTAACTGTGAATGGCTGTGAATGGCTAGTTCTTCCTGATCTAATGGGCCTGAGGTGTGGGATGAGACATCGCGGAAGAGGTGCTGAGCGTTGGTCTCACAGGAAGCAATGCTTCAGATACCCTAGTCCCTGCTTCTCCCTTCCCACCCCCAAATTCAGGCTGTGTTAAAAATTGGAACACCAGACCAGTCCACTTGGCCGTGTCAATGAAGATGACCATTTCTTTTCACATCTGTGATTTGAGAACTTTGTCTGGGTTCCCAGTCCTCTCTGGTTCCAGCTGGAGATTATATTAGAATAGGGCCAGTGATTTTTGTTTCTGTTTTGTTTACTATTATTATTATTATTTGCAGTGGCAGGGTTGATGAGTAGGATAGAGTCAGGGAACAAAGGAGAGAATGAAAATACTAAGACTGTAAATATCCATAAAGAAAAAGGTGCTTTGTAATGGGCCTTAAACTGTTAAACTTGTCTTTCATCCCCTGAGCTAGAGTATCAGAAGGTTGGGTTATTGCCCTGGTACAGTCCAGGGTCAGGCATGGGTTAGGTAGAATCGACTAATACTGGCCACCTGGCTTCGGGTTAAATTAGCACATAGATGCGCTTTAATGTTAAGGTGGATTTTTTTCCTAACATGGAACAATGAGCTACGTTGTGTTTTACACCAGGTTCTTTGCCTTTTTCCCTGCTCCATCATCCCAGAGAGAGAACTTAAGTATAAGACACAAGGGCAAACTAGAGTAAAATCTTGTAATAGCTCCAAGGGGCTGGTTGGGTTGAACAGCTTTTCAGGGATGAGTCCAATGACTCTGTTCTTCTTTTCAAATGTGGAGCCGTGAGTTTCATTTTGTTAATTGGACTTTCCAATCAGAGATGAGAAGAGTCTCTGCTTAAAAGATACTGCTATTTACTTACCTTTAATCTAGGAAAAGGAAGTAAATGTAGGTGATCTTGGCATCATCAATGGGTAGTGTCACACTTTACACTTTATCCCAAAGCAGGAAATAAATTTAGCAAATGTCTTCCTGTCCAGACAAAATGGGAAACAACAAGTTTGCATGACTTTTCTCTTTTTCCAGTTGGCATAAGCCCTGGCCACTTTTAGCCCTTATGTTGGTTAGCTATAATGACTATTGCTGGTATTGTATATTTAAGATACTTAGGTAGTCTGTAAGAATGTATCTTTAATGTTATAATGACTGGGACAGAAATTCTTACTGGCAGTTTGGCTCTGTTTAGTGAATATATTTTTGTTAATTTTTGTATTGACTATTTCTCTCCTCTTCATTTTCTTTCCCTACTCAGTGATAGAATTAGAATATATTTTTTGTAACATAATTTTACATTTAGTCCTAAAGGTGTTGAACCTATTCCCAGATTTGAGTCAACTCTATCACATTGTTCTTTTCTAAATGTAGTAATAGGACAAAAGCAAGATCGTCTTCTAAACTCTGACTGAAATTGGTAGAAAGGTTAACTTTCTTTTTACAGACATAACATAATTGCAATAAAGAAGATTTCTAGTCAGTTATTTCATAATTTGCTATACATTAAAACTATGGGGGAAATACATATAAAAGAATGAGATGATTTTGGTATTGAAGGTATCCACTCATTTGAGTCGGACAAATAATTATATACCAGTTGATTACAGCAGTTCTAGAGAACTGATGATACTTTTGTTAGAAATCAATCAAGAAAGAAATGAGGTGTGTATGCACATTTTTTTAGGCACTTATGTCACATGTTTCTTCCTAGAGAGAAATGTCCCAAATAAACTTTCAAAGACAGTTAAAAATGGGTAGTTGAAGCACAATTTTTAATAAGTTTAAATGGTCTTCTAGCATCGGGAAACATCATGGAAAGTCAGTAGTTTGGTGTTTTCTTTAATTCTGGACGTAGTTGTTGTCTCTTTATGGGGAAGATGTGAGGAATGAGACTGGCTCCGTTGTCCTCAGTTGTATGTTTCTGCAGTTAGTCCTTTTACTACCATCTGGAAAGCCATTAGGTTCTTATCTTCAAAATGTCCGTTAACAAGGAAGGCACAGTTTGTCTCTTGACAAGAAAAGTACTGTTCATCAGATTCTCTTTGGCTCTTTTGGTAAGATTTTAGCTTGCGAATTCTCAGCTGATGGCAACCTCACTTAATAAAGTCCTATCCCCAGGCCTTTCCTGCTCTGCTGTGGGACACATTTGTAGCTGCTCAGGCTGCTACCATGTGTCATGTTGTAGGTCATATTCCCTAAAGTGGAAGGAGGAAACCACAAGAAATCATGTTCTTTCTGGTGTTGTTCCCGAGCATTCACTTTGCTCCTGAGATAATGAGCTGTATTTGTTACTTCCGTTGTGGGCTCATAGAATTGATTAACGCACACTGCGGGATAACAGGGTATATGGCTTACTGGCAGGTCTTTAGCTGTAGAATATCGTCCCAGATAAAATGAGGGAAACAGTTTACCGGTAGACTCATTTCTGGCCGTACTTATAGCCATAGCACTTCCAGTTGCAAGGACTGTAACTAGAAAAGGCAGCAGAAGTAGATTTTGACTCAGCCATGGCCATAGTTTTCCTTTGGTCATTTTATTCATATTACCAGGTTCCTTTTAGGTCTGACCTAATACCTTCTAGACTAAGAGCCTTTAGTGAATTCCCTTACTGCCTTATCTTCGGTCAGTTTTAGTTAAAGGCAGGAGGTGGGTCAAGTGGGAGTCTGGGAGTCCTTGTGGGGGACTGGGGTAGAGTATGAAAAAAAATTCAGTGTATGTGTATAAATATGAACATCAGAAAGTAAAATACCGCAAAATCGTTTTGGCTGTTGGGAGTGAGGGTGACAGCTCTGTAGGGAACATCAGTTAAGGTTGAAAAACAACCACAGAATGTGGTTTTGGAAGAAAAAGAAGACTTAGAAATCACCTCTGGTTTGTGCTCCCTGTATTCTCATGAATATAGTGGTCTGGGATGAGGGCAAATACATGGTTTCAGTTTTTCTTCACTAAGTGAAAAGACATTCGCTGAATCTTTTTGCCTTTGCTTCCCTTCCAGTGTCAACGAGACTTACCAAGAGAAGAAAAAAAAAAGAAGTGAACACAGACTCATTTCCTACTCCACGTGGATGATAGCTATAGCAGGGGAAAATCTCATAGTATATCAATTGGGGCAGAAAATGGAGGTAATTGGCAGTGGGGGCTGGGTTTTTCTTCTGTCCATTTTCTGGGGTATAGGTATATTACCTACTTGTTTTTTTTTAAGAAACATCTTTTTTGTTTTGATTTGAAATTTGGTTATAATTCTGATAGGACTGGCGTCTCAATTGTCTTATACAATTTGGGTCCCCCATTAAAATCACTGTATTATATCAGTAAAGTTAGGTGAAACCTGAAGGTTCTCATCATTAGTTGTTAGGTCTAGAACATTCACGTGGTGGTAAATGAGTTAGGTTATTAGGAGGGCACTGGCCAAATGGCAGCTCCTGGGTTTTCTAATTGTTGGCTTAGCCTTTCCCACTCCATCTAATGAAAGATTAGGAAAGACAAGGAGACCTGGCTCAGGTGGCTTTGTGAGTTGTATCGGTGGCATACACTCAGAAAGCCAGCAAGATTAGTCTTTGGTATGACAACACTTCATTTAGATGAAAGCTGAAATCGTTACGGCACTAGTGTCAGCTTGAACTGAGGAAGGAAGGCTTTAGGTGTTTTGACCTGACTTACAGTTATGGTAGCCATGGCCAGTGCCACCTGGCTCTGACAGAAGCCTAAACTTCCCAGTGATCACATCAGCAATTTCCAATTTTCAGTTCTATGGCAGAGGCTTCTTAGAAGCTTAAACCCTTGTCCCAATGACGTCAAGTTCGCCCATTGGCTTGGAAGGTTCAGACTTGTCTTCCATCAACACCATGATGTCAGCGGTAATGAGTGTAGGGAAGGTCGCCGAGAATGGCGGGAGCCCCCAGAGCATCAAGTCCCCCACGAAGCCTCCAGGACCAAATCGGATTGGCAGAAGGAACCAGGTAAGCTTTTGTATGCTAGGTGTTGACGTCTGATGGCTTTAGTCTCTGAGAACGTTGGGAGAAGGATGTTCCCTTGAGCCCCAGCTTCCTAAGATACAACCTTGGATTTGTTCAGAACTAAACAGACATACCCAGAGGCTGTAATCATTTTTCAAGTGTGAACTTCTCATAGCTTATGTCAGTTTCCTTTCATGGAGAAAATTTTCTGTGCTCTGGTATCACTAATGGTGAAAGCACCCTTATTCTTTGCCCTGTAATTTGACTTGAATGCAAGCTTTCTTCACGTGATGGCCAAGGCAAAGAACTTGACTTATTCGTCTGCTGTGATGTGGTTCACTTCCTTATTCACACGGCCGGTTGATTGGGTTTTCGAAGCCACCTCCTTGATTTTTTTTAAGTGTCTTCGGGTTAGGTAGCAAATAAGTACTGATTGTGCTGGAGCTGCCATGCGGCTTTCCATCCTTGACAAAGCGCAGAATTTACCTCCAAAGAATTCCACTTAAGACACGATTTAGTCCTCTTGAGTTTTTAGTGGGCATCAGATCAAGAGAAGTGGGAAAGAGCAAATGGGTGGGCAGGGATTGGAAGGATTAATGATGTTATAAAAGTCCACGTCTCCTCCATTGGGAAATAAGGTGAATCTTTTAATTAATATACAAATGGGGCCCTTGAAAAGTTGTTGCTATCCTGTTAACGTGTTCAACAAAGCTGGAGGACTGAGGCAGAGGGTAAATAGTTCTCATTTCTTCTCTGAATCCATGTGATATGAACTGACTACTCCACGTTTACTTTTGGTTTAACTGGTTTAATGGGATTATACCAAACCCTTGGGGAGAAGGCAGTCTTGTCAATTTGACTAGATACCAGGGATGGACAGGAAAGGAAACCTGGTGGGCTTTTGTGAATTAATTTTCTTTTTTATTAATAATCCTAGAGTGACTGTCCTTAACAGAATTGTCTGAGCACATCTATGATGGTTTTCTATAAATTCTTAGAAGGAGAACATTAGTTAAGGCTTTTGATACAACTTGCCCCCCAGGAAAAGTTGTACCAGCCTAAAACCCCTCCAGCAACGTACAAGAAGTTCTGTTTTCTCCATACCTTTCTTGAGGCTGAAGACTTGGCAGAGTTAAATGATGTTTTAAGGTTGGAGCATTGATATCTTTTTCTCTTTTTTCCCTTTCCTCCACGTGCCTCTCTTCCTATGGGTACCTGAGAAAATACTCAGCCTGTATGACTGTGGCCTGAGTCAAGAAGGAGCACTAGCTCTGGGAAGAAAAGGTTTATTTCCACTCTCACATGACTGTCTATCCATCCGTCTATCTGTCCATCTCTTCATCCGTCCACCCATTTCATAATATATACCCAGCTCCTACTTCCAGCCAGGTGTCAAGCATTTTGGGATGATGAGATATATAAGGTCATTGTCTCCTCATCCTTCTCTGTTCTACCAGGTAAAGTGGCATGGGCAGGGACAACCTCTTCCTTAAGTACCCCAGCATTGCCCCAGCACAGGCAGAGTTGGCCCAAGTCAAGGCTCCAGTCCCTTCCCAGTGGTTCAGAGACAGTATGTAGAGCCATAGGAGGGATCCACAACACCCCCATCTCTGCATGTAAGTGGAAGTGGCTCTCCAGGTGTGGGGAAACAAATGGTGCAGGTGTGCCTGGGCCATTTTTCATCCACCTTCTATGTCCTGCAGCGTTCCTCACGGGACTGGCTTAGTTTTTGAAAGGGAGGTCTGGGCCAGAGGTACCAGAGGAATGACAGTGCATTGGGAAAAAAAAAAAACAAAATACGCTGGGGGAGAGAGTGCGTCATCTTACCTGTGAGTGGATGGGGAGGGCCAAAAGGGACTGCTAGGGAGAAGTCCCGTCAGCGCTAGCCCTGACTTCCAGGATAGATTAGCCGCAGCCGGACGCTGACAAGGGTGCTAGATTGTTTCATTATGGAAGGGTTAGTTATCACATTAGCTGCTAATTTTATCTGTCAGCTCAGGAAGTGTGCTCATTCCACCAGCGTGGCTGCAATAACTGGATTCACAATTTTCCAGTGGGGCCTCTTCCAGCCTCATGGTGCCCTCTCTTCTATTTGGTTTGTTTTTAAAAATTAAATCTAAATCCACAGACTTCCTCGGAACATCCAGACTGTTATGGATTTTGTGGACTCGTATTGTGGTCTGCAGCATGCCACTGCCAGCCTCAGAGAGGATTTGGGGTCCAGTTCATGATTAACCCCAGAGTCAGTACCCTTAGCCTCAGAGCTTCCCAGTATGTCTGGTTTCTACCTCAAGGTGAATGCAAGATGATTTTTTTTTTTAAATTGCCTCCTCAAGAGGCTGGCCACTTGGAGGCCTGGCTTTTTAACATTTATTTACATCCTACCGATGACTCTTTGTTTAAAAAAAATTTTTTGGGATATATATTATCGGTAATCTAATAATTTAACAAAAGTACCCCAGAGACTGAGTTTTGGCCTGGCTGTGATATCTCTCTCATTATTAGAGCTAGTGCTCTTATTTTGTTGTTAATACTTTTGTTTTGGGTTTTTCTGTTTGGTGGTTCTTGGCCTGCTCCATTCTGACTGTGGTAGAATGGGCTGAGAAGGTCTGAGACCCTCCTCCCCCCACAAACGCACACACAGTGTACCTCTGGGAGGAGTGGAAGTGTATGGATGACTGGGTGAATTTTTTAAACTGTCTCTAGTTAATCAACTTCCTTAGAATTCGTATCTGTAAGTTTTTTAAATTTGAGAGTGAAAAAAAAGTGTAGTTCTCAGACCCAATGCCACAGACTAGAAAAAGGTTTATATTGCTTAAAATGAGGCTGGTTAGTCTTTAAGGAGCAGTGAGAGACAACCAGTGTAGCAGCTACGTACCAGACATCATCGTGCATTCACTCCACCCGTCTGGTTTATGGTGCCATTTGTTTTTATAGTCTTCAGGGTGACTTTTATTTTCATCATCTCTCATGAGCCAACCACAAGGGCGTTTCCTTTATGTGCCTTGGGGTTAATCCTTTTTTTGGTCAGACTTATATAGCATAGTGGTTTAGGGCATGGGCTTTCGAGCAGCTGGCCTGCCTTTTAATCCTGGGTCTGCTACTTAATAGTTCTCTGATTTGGGACAGGTTACTTGCCTCTCTGTACCCCAGTTTCCTTATCCAGAAAATGAGTTCTACAATACTGAAGGTCTCTTAGGTTGTGAAAAAATTTATATTTCTTATATACAGCGTTTAGCCCATAGTAAGTGCTCGATAATTGGTATTTTTTGCAAGGAACAGAAACTCATTCAAATGAGTGCAAGTAAAAAGACGTCTATTGAAAAGACACCAAAGGGTCCAGCGCTAGAGACAATGCTCCCCTCTTTCTCGGGCTACCTGGTCTCCTACTTCCAGTAGCAGTGATGTCCTCCCCAGCTGCATTCTCGTGGCTTGGGCTCACCACATTCTGGGTCCAGCCCCAACACTACATGAACTTCCAATTCAAGTGCTTGTGATCACCTAACTTAGTAACTTACTCATCTTCAAACCTGGGCACATAGCGGCATCTCCTGGGGAGCTTGGGACACAAACCGATTTCTGGGGTTTGGCTCCCCTCACCCCCAATGATTCTGATTCAGCATGTCGTGAGTCTGGTCTAGAAATCTGTATTTCAGAAAGCTTCTCAGGTGATTCTACTGATCTTTGGAAACCCACTGATCTTAGTCTCTGCACACCTCAATTCCAAATTCCTGGAAGAGGTGTCCAAGCCTTGATTCCGTTAATTTTGGGGATGAAGACAGAGACCTGTGGTGCTTGGGGACTGTGAGGGTGAGAAGGCAATGGTGGGCACATCCATGGCAACTCTCCATGAATTATTTGGAAAGAGGAGCTGTAGCGTATGGTTAGTGAAGGAGCTCGTCCTTTTCCTTAAAAAGGTAAAGTATATTGCTTGAAGAAAGCCTGTCCTATGTGTTTTGAGGGAACATGAAATGAGCCACCTCGCCAAGTAGTGAGCTGGTTCTTCTGTCACCCTCTGTGGGTCTTCAGTTTGGGTTGTCATTCCCTGTCACAGTTTCGACGGGGGCAGTGTTTTTATTTATTATTTATGAGCGGTGTCAAGCAGGTGCTAACAGCAAGTAAAAGGATCATGTTGATGCCCACTGGTGCACAGCTGGGCACTGAGGCCTCCCACCATTCGGAGGGTGGGTTTTTGTCCTGAGGACTTCATTACCTCTTATGTGTTCCTGCGGGTCTCAAGACCAGGTAGAAAATAGTGACTGGAACCTGAGAGACAGATTCCTTTTCTAGCTCTGCTGCTGTGACTTGATGCTTAATTTATCGCCATCACCCATGATTAATTAAATGGTGTCTGTCTAATAGAACGCTAATACTTATTGAGCGCTTAGCTGTACCAGGCACTGTTCTAGTGCTTTACCTGTGTTAATTGATTTAATCCTCATTGCCACATGATGTGGTAGATGCTATTTTTTTCCCATTTTACAAACGAGGAAACTGGGGGCAGACAGGACGGTGATTTGTCCAGGCTCATAACCAGACAGGCTCCAGAGCCCATGCTCTCCGCTGTGTTATTGCTACAGCTCTTGAGACACAGGTGCTTATAACAGAAACAAGAGGCACGAGTTTACTATGAGTTGAAATTGATCCTCCCTTTTATTATATCTTTTCAGGAAACGAAAGAGGAGAAGTCTTCCTATAACTGTCCCCTGTGTGAAAAAATTTGCACTACACAGCATCAGTTAACTATGCACATTCGTCAGGTTTGCTGCTGCTTTTATATTTTTGTTTAAATGGTTCTTTGTTAAGAGAGGGCAAGGTGATTTGATCTTAATGGATGAATTGTGACTGTGTTTAATTTAGATTTAATATTTTAATAATTTTGAGGGGTGGTTATGAAATAATTTTGTGTCTGTGTTATTGTGACAAAGTCCCATGTCAACAGAGAATGCCTTTTCAGAATTTAGCAAACATCTATTTAACTGACCACATATAACCGAAGACTTTTCATCATACGTGACTTGTCAGTATGAACCAGATCTCCTTACAGTACAGTGAGATTGTAGATATAGACCCCTGTTCTTTGTATTGCTATAAACTTTCATCATGAATCAGGGAATTTACTTGATTTGGGATCTCTTTTGGCTTTCCTCCTGTGTTATGAGATTTAATCTTCTCCCTCACCTGCTATGGCCGATTCATGACAAAGTATTGATAAATCTAGAACAATGAAGGATTGACAATATTAAAATCATAACATGGTACTGAGTAATAATAACATCATTTAGTAACTTGAGTGTGGATAGAAATGTTCCTTCTTAACACATTTCAGAGGCCAGAACTCTCTAAACTGTGCAGGTTTCAGTTCTCTTTCTCTGACAGCAGAACTGAGTCATCAAACTTGAAGAATGGACGTTGACTTAATGTGAGGACCATATTTCACATGTTTGCTTCATAGTTGAGAGTCTTTATGCTTATATTAATATGTGTGGTCACTTGATCTGTATGTGTCTCCAAGAAAGACCTGCAAAGACTCCACCTCTCTCTGAGCCTTGCAGAAGTATTTGTCAAAACTGGAACATGGGAATGGAAGAAGATCATACAAAATATTTACTTGCCTGTGTTCCTGATAGATTTTGACATTCGAGAAGATATAAAATGAAACAGAAAAAAATAGCTGAGAAGCTTTGTGGTTTTTTTTTTTATAAAGCTCTGAATTTGCATTTCAGAATAGCTGAGTTTTGACCCATCTTCTTAAGTGACTACTGTGATAATTGCTTTCTGCAGCATAACACGGACACTGGAGGGGCAGATCATTCGTGCAGCATCTGCGGGAAGTCGCTGAGCTCGGCCAGCTCCCTGGACCGCCACATGCTGGTGCACTCTGGCGAGAGGCCTTACAAGTGCACTGTGTGTGGCCAGTCTTTTACCACCAATGGGAACATGCACAGGTGGGTGAGGGCAGTCTTTGCGTGGTGGCAGGCATCTGGAGGTTGAGAAAGTAAAGTGGCCTCTGAATCATCAGAGGACTTGCCTAAAGGCATAAAGAGTTCTCAAGTCCTGTTCACTCTATGGAAAAGCCAGAGATGGTTTTGTTTGCCTGTGCATGCTATCCTCCAGTGTATTAGAGATGTCTGATCGTGGGAAGCAGAAGTACCTGGGCTAAGTCTTTGGCCCTTTGGGGATCTTCAGGATGAAACACAGAGTCCTTCCTCCTCTGCCAATTGGACTTCCTTTGGGTGCCAGAGGTGGACAGCTTACCAGATACAGAGGAACCCTCAAGGAATGGCATAGTAAGCCTTACCTTTTAAAACTATTTGCATATGCCTACCAGGTTCCCTGCAGGTCTTTTCCTTTCAGAAAAATTTCTGGGGTCTTTGAATAGATAGTTAAGTGGCCTGGTCCTGGAGCTTCAGGATAAGATAGGATAAAATGAAGAAAAAGAAAATCTGATAAATGTCAGGAATTTACTTCCTGAGACTCACTCAGAAGTAGGAGAGAGCTCAATGGTGGGCATATTAAAATTTCATGGGACGAACCCGTGGAAAATATACTTTATAAAATGATCACATATGGTTTAAGGGGTTAGAACAGAAGGACTTTTTAAATGCTTATTTTTTTTTTGACACAAACATTTTAGGAACATTGGAACTCTAGGAAAACCTTTTAAAGGGACTAAAAATTTCACCTCAGAAAATCAGGCTATTTTTATTTTTCCATATTTTCTTTCGGGCATTACTAATGCTGCTTTCTTTCTAAAAGTTGACAAACACGGGGCTGGCCCCGTGGCATAGTGGTTAAGTTCGGCGCACTCCGCTTCGGTGGCCCAGGTTCACAGGCCCAAATCCCAGGTATGGACCTACGCCACTCGTCAGCCATGCTGTGTCGGCAACCCACATACAAAAATAGAGGAAGCTTGGCACAGATGTTAGCTCAGGGCGAATCTTCCTCAAAAAAAAATATATGTATTGACAAACTTTTTTTTTTTACACATTTATTTCAAAAGAAAACTTTATGTAGTTATTGTGAAATTGATATTATTTATAAATACTAAAATGAGATGGTCCATTTTGTTCCACCTAAAATCATTTTATGAACCACTGATGAGTGTACGTACTTGGGACACACTGGCATAGTGTAAACGTCTGGATTTTAGATTTAAAATGAGATTTTTGACAGTATCCAGTTCATTGGACTAGGCTGAGGATAAGAAGATCATGAGTTTACACATGTGTTCCTGGCACATGGTAAGCAGTTAGGAAATGTTATCTATTATTATTATTTGCATTTCTAAGTAATGGTGCAGTAATTTATGGATTTCTAGACTGAACTCCAAGAAGTAAGGTATAGTATGACTTTATGAAAAGTATCAATATTTTAAAGAATTTTTACAAAGTGTTTTACTTTTCTCTCTATAAATTTCAATCCTCTTTGCCCTCACCTCCTCCTAGGAGTGTTTTTGGCTACAAAGGAGGACGTGAATACCGTCACCATTTTTTAATGTGATGTTTTACATTTTAGCTTTTTTACCACCATATCAGTCTGTTAGTATCATTTTGTCTTCTGTTTGCCCTTTTGTCTTGTTTTGCCTGCTCTATCGTCC